AAGTTGCACCAATTTTTCCCAAGCTAGGATATGACCTCTCTTCAATTGAAATGTTTGAAACCAAAAATGCAACATGAACGCATTCTTCTTTCTGCTTCTCTCCCGATCTGCATCTCTTGCCCGCCAAGAGATTGCAGCAGCGTCGCTTGGCTTTCTTCGTCTATTCAAATAAAAATGGAAATTTGATTTGATTTCTAAACAACTGCGGTAGCAAAGATCAACCAACTCCTATGCCTACACCAGAATATTCTCAAGCTAAAACACCTATTTTACGACACCCTACCTGAACGTGTAGTGAAGCCAAAGGTTAAATTCTGAGCCGATACCATTAGAAGGAATAAACGTTCCGTTGGCTTGAAGATAACGATAGGATAGCTGAAATAAGCAGAAAGATCATTAAAGTGAAATCGATTTTTTCTTTTTTGTAATTATTTTAAATTTTAGGGGCGAGGATCGGAGGGTGCTCGGTTTGGAATGTGTGTTTTATTATTCCCACTCGGGTCACTTAATATTTGGTTCATGGCCGTCCCAAAAAATGAATCTTGGCCATTCCGTTCTCTTTCAAAGGTTTTCTTTTTTACCATTTCATCGTTTCGCCCAGTTTAGAGACTGATCAGATAACATCGATGAGGTAAATGCTGAGTTTAGGAACCTGCCCATACATTTAGCAACTGTTTGTGACATTTATGAAAATAAAATATTTTTTATTTTACTTTTGTTAAAGGTTAATTCGTGTTTATCATGGAAATGATTAAAGGATTGTTGACAAAAGTACTCGTAAAATTTAATTACAGTCGCTATGAAAATTATTCTAATGAGTTTATTTTTATTTTTTTTAATATATAACAATTTTTTAGCAGAATTCTATAAATAACCATTGACCTTTGTTAGTGGATTAATTAAAATCAATAACTATATCTGACATGCGTGATGTCAATAGATACCTGTTGTGCATGCGTACTAACTCACAAATCATTAAAACATGAAACAGCAGGTTTGTTTTAGCTCTTCATTAAAAATTGCATGTAAAATTGTACTTTAAATGCGTTCTATTAGCTTAAAACTCTTGTTTACCTGCTGATTCTTGATGTTAAAAATACATTTAACTACTACTTCAAAAGATGAACTCACAAATGTCAACCAACCTTTAATTTTACCTCCTTGTGATAAGATTTTGATGATGTTTAGATGTTATCAGTGTGCTTATAAGGGTCCAAAGTTTGTTTATTCCGGTAACCATTTGGGAGGTACCTTCTACTTAATGCTAATGAGGTAGCTTTGAGGTAAGAATTCGTATTTCATTTCTTACAGTAATTTTCTTCTTGTTGGGTAGAACTTAAGCTTTGAATTATTTAGTTTTAGATATTAATGTAATTTAGTGAATGTTGAGTTATTTGTAAATGTCATATTTCTTGTTTATTTTTTTAGTTTTGATTTATTTTTATTCTTTCAGTACCTTGTATCAGTGTCACTTCTCCCTTCAGTTTCATCATTAAAAATGGACAATATCAATGAGGTATCCTTATTTACAATTTAAAAATTCTCTCAATTATTATTAGATTGTAATTAATTTTATATTAAATTATTGTAGTTTTAATTTTTCTTGCACCAAACTAAAATCAGAGCCCTCCCCTTTTTTATTGATTAGTTATACAAAGTAAGTTGTTGCAACTATGAATTACCTATGTCTTAAAGTTTGATGATCAAATCGATATAAAACAGAATTCTATATTAAGCAGAGACACTTTCTATCGGTCATAGATAATGGAAATAGTCTCTGCTCTATAAATAGGATGACTCCAAATTACTACTGAATCTGATTTTATAATTATTTGGTTACTTATGTTGGTAAAATTTCACAAGTCACTCCAACAATGCAGCCAAGCCAAGATTCCATTGTTCGCTCTGTAGATGGAATTTCGAAAGAAATATATTATTGACAACCATACAACCTCACTTAACACAATTAAAGGTTAATTGAGAATGTTAGTTTAGTAGAAAATTATGAATTACTAACAGTTATAAAAAAATATATATATATTTTATTTTGTGCCTAAGATACAGTCCTTCTTCAGGGCTTCTACTCTATTGAGTGTTCACTGTAATTTGTCTAACTTAATTATCTCACAACATTCATCTACCACTTGTTCGAAACAGATAAACAAATCTCTAAGTGGTCCTTATCCCCAGTTGAGGTTGGGGTCTTACCAAGCTTGCCTCCCTCTATTTTCCGACACTTTCAGAATTTCATGTACATTGTGGTCTTGGTGATCTTTTCTGAGTGATACATTTGAAAAAAAAAAGGATAATCAATAAAATTATTAACTGTTTTAGTTCGGGCAAATGAATGGCAATCACTTATGAAGAGTTCAGATTTTTATGCAGTAAAAAATTACTGAATATGACTATAATTTGCAAAAAAGTGTAAAATATTCAGCAAAAAAAAAAAAAAAAAACATAAAACTAATATTCAATAATGCAGCTTAAAACTTTAAGTTTACTAAAGTGCTTACACTAAAAAAGTATAAAAGAAATTGGAGGAGGGAATAAAATCAAAAGAAAATAATTTCAATTATTATTATTATTTTTATTTGTTCTTTCTTTTCTTCATAAATAATTTAAACTTATTGTGATAAAAAAAAAAGAAGAGAGAAATAAAAATATGTATGTATTAATGCCTAAAAACGGAATAAGAAACAAATTTTAAAATCTAAAATATCAAAGCAATAAAAACTTGCATCTAATAGGAAAAGAAAAACAGCTATAGGAACTGTATTTAAAAATGAATAAAATGTTAATAAATATAAAATACTTCATAAATCAACTGAATGAAGTTAATGTTATTTACTTAGTTGTTACAAAAGTCCTTGTGCATAAGTATAGCTTTATTTCATATTACATATTTTAAACATCATTGAATACTCTTCAAAGTAAAGTCCATTGTTTTCAACTGCTTTCTGCTAGTAATTGGATTTGATGCTGGTACCACTCCTTTGGTTTAAGGCAAAAAACCCTTAACATCCAATTTTTACGTTCTCGTAATTATCAAAGTTCTGATCATTTAAAAAATAAGCCATTGATCTGATCAAATCATATTCTGATGGTGCAATATTTGGGCTATTTGCAGGATGAGGCAAAACATTTACTACTTGCGATTCCAATATTTTTTTTTTTTTTTTGTCAAATGAGACCAAAGTGAGGGGGTATTTTGCTGCAAAATGCCTTTGTGTTGACTCAAAACTGCATAAATTCTGTTTAGCTGTTTTTAGTAAAGGTTTGAGTCCCCTGTCCAACATGAGGAATTAGCTCAAAATTCAAAATGCCTTTGTAGTTCCGAAGGCCCATATTCCCTTTGTTAAAACACCTGAACCAAAATGCAGCAGTATTTTGATAAATTACTCACCTTCTATGGCACGAATTTCTTTGGTGGTTGCCTTACAGCTTAAACCTTTTTTCCAGTAATGCATCAAAAGACTGTGAATCACGATTTTTTCTTTTGACATTGCACGTGTGTTTAAAAAAGATAAATGACTCTTAAACCCAACTCAAGTCACAAGAAATTAAAGAATTAGTCTAAGTAAACATTGACATAAATAGTAGGAACATAAACATTCTTTTAGAATTAATTATTAGAGCTCGAATTAATGTACACGCACAAGAACTTTTGTAACAACATAATAATTGATTAGTTGTTGATTGAAAATGACCTATGATTTTAATCTGAAATTTTATTTTTTCTACTTGACTGAAACCATCAAATATGCAATTCTCTGCATTCATCATCAAAAATTCAATATAAAATTTGATTAATTGCTACCAAGTACAGTAATTCGTAAAGATATTTGATCAGCAATGTAACAACTCCATACAAACAAAGTATGCAATGGCATAAAAATTTGGCCCTTGCTTACGTAATAATATGAGATGTTGGCATTTGTTCCCTGAGGAGGCTAAAATCCATTGCCAAGAACAGATTGTGGAAGGGTGTTATAAAAAAAATCTAGCATGGTGGCTGAGTGAAGATCACATTGATCACGCTGTAGATGAAATTTCGAAAATGATGTATTAAAGTATATAAAAAAAATTACCGTTTTTGAACCAAAGATTTGTATTATTATTTCTTTCATATATTTGACTATTGAGTATTAATTTTATTTTATTTGATATAAAATAAAATTAATACTCTAAGTATAGTCCATTGTTATCTAACATCATTAGCCAATTGCTCGATCCCACATTGATATCATTCTTTGTGATGGCTGTCAATGAACTCTTTTACCGCAATTTCAACATCTGCAAAATTATCAAATTTTCTCTTAAAGAAAATGCGCCATGGATCTAAATAAGTAGTAATCTGATGGTGCGAGGTCTGGACTATATGGTGCATGAGGCAGGAGTTTTTCTATAAATTTTCACAAATTTCTAACCTCCTAGCTAATTGCTGAGGCGTAAGTTCATGAGGGACCAGTCTGTTGCACTTTTTCATCTTTCCCATGGGTAGTAGATGGTGACTAACATTATCTTTCAACACAACACACTGCCTGGCAAGTTCGCAAGTACTTGTGGACGGGTTTGACTCAACAGCTTCCTGCAGAACCTTAACAATATCCGTTAATGGTCGCCTGGAGCCCTTCTTGCTTTCTAACGTTTTATCTCTACTGCTAAATTTTTCAAGCCAATGCTGCGCAGTACGCTGGTCAAGGACACCTTTCCCATCATATTTAATAATTTCACGAGTTGTTTCAGTGGCTATGAAATGTTTTTTTCAGTAGTGCCTTAAAATTACTAGAATTTCGTAGGACACTGTCATGTCTCTTCTTTGAAACAAATAACTAAATAGAGGATTTTTTTGAAGAAGTTGAAAGGGATTATTAAGTATTGGTAAATATTAAATAGGATTAAAATATTTACAGTCCTTTGAAATCTTAAATTTGATAAATTGGTCATATTTTTTTTATACACTCTATTATTTGTGATAATAATTTCTTGTTTATTTTTTTAATGTCTTGCATGAGTAGTAATATGTTACGTTATACTTTTTTGTTTCAGAGAATAACTGGAGTATCTCTAGTTTTTACTTATCACAATTATGAGATAAACCAATCAGGGATATTATTTAATGATTACGTTTTAACTACAGGAGGATTAGTATTACCATATGTTTTATCAAAAAAAGTGCCGGACGTAAAGGACTTCAGTGTTAAAATATCATTAGAAAAAAGAAACCGAGTTATTTCAAAAACTGGATATATAGCATATGTCTGTAATTCAGATGATTTGAATAATTCTATGAAACAAAATGATTTTGGGTTAGATTCAATCATCATTGAATCATTTTCTCAATTCGTAATTATTGAAATTAATAATACCGCAAAAGGGAATTTCTCAAAAATTGAAATGACGTTAAACCCAAACGAACTGAATAGAGGAAAAGATGTTCTCACAGTATCAACACCATTTGGAAATCAAATGTTTCTTAACTGTTATTCTAGAGGAATTGTTAGCAAGATAGTTGACAAAGGAATGTTTATTACGGATTCCCGATTATCTCCAGCTTGTGAAGGTGGACCTATTTACATGTAAGCACATTTAGTCCTTATTGCCCACAATAGTTCTTTATTTGTATTGAATTTCTGTACTTTTTTTTTTAATGAAGTATGTTATGTTTATTGATTATGAGCATAAGAAATAGGATGCAGTCCAAATTGAAATAGTATTGGGCTGTGAGATTCCTAATGGTGAAAGCCAAAATAATAGAGGCATAAATAAAAACTATATGAAAAAGGTTAATAATAAAAAAGTAATTAAGAAGAAACATAATACAAAAAAAAAAGAAGAAATAGGTTTCATGGTTTTTTTTTTTTTTTTTTTTAATGTTGGCTTTAAGCACGTCGACCCCTTTGGGTCCATTGTGCGCCAATATTCACTAGGTCGTCTTATTCAAAACGTTAGTCCTGTCGCTTCCGCGTATCTAAGTAGGCTGGTTGGGTTAACCGACTCAAATCTACTGGGGAGATCCATCTGTTCCTCCCCAAATAATGCCAGTCTCAGCCTTATAAACTTGTCACATCTGCATATGATGTGAAAAGCTGTTTCATTCTCCTCCTGACAGAATCTGCATAGCGGATTCCTCATTACTCGGAGATTGAACATATGATTATTTAACTTACAGTGACCTGTGTAGATCGCTGTAAGTTTTTTAAGAGCTGCTCTGTCCATGTTCAGTAGCTGTTTACTTCTTTTTTTACATGGGCCTTCAAGGAACAGCTTCGAGTGTCTCTGTTTCTTGTCGGTCCAGTAATTCCTAAATTTGTTCCCATAGATCTTCCTGATCCTGCCCTTGGGCAGTACTAAGGCTGATTCCACAGACAGGCTCGGGAGTTATAGGAATAGTATCTGAGCCCAACCTGGCTTGCTCATCAGCCATCTCGTTGCCCGGTATGCCAGAATGGCCTGGCACCCACTCCACTGCAACTCTGTTGTGCTCAGTTAGCTCGTTAAGTGCTCTATTGCATTCCTTAACGACCTTTGAATAAGCATAATAATTGTCAAGAGCACCTATTGCTGCCTGACTGTCAGTAAAGATGGTGATCTTTTTCTCAGTCACATTGGTTTGCAGTAGGTTTTGTACACAGTGGCAGATTGCCAGTATCTCGGATTGAAACACTGAAGCATACCTGCCAAGTGGTATAGAAATTTTTTCTTTTATATCTTTGCGATAGATGCCTGCTCCAGAGCCGAAGGCTGTTAGAGAGCCATCTGTGTAGCAATTTATTCCACTATTTGGTTTATGACTTCTGCTGCTATCTATCTCAACCTTATATTTTCGGTCCTGATATTCTCGGATTAGAGTGTAAGAGTGCATAGCTAGCACTCTTTCACTTCCAATCCTGTTCAGCAGTGTTGTGTGTCCTCCCTGACAGGGGACTGTTGAACAGTAAGTTGACTTGCTTATCCTGTACAGTGTAATTGTTGCCCGAGCCTCCACCTCCAGCTGCAGCGGGGGCATGCCGAGCATCACCTCCATAGCAGCCGTCGGTGTCGTGCTCATTGCGCCTGTTATCATTATACAAGCAAGCCTTTGAATCTTTCCTAATAAGGATAAGTTGGCTACAGTCTTTGCTTTGTGCCACCATAGCAAAGCTGAGTAAAGTATGATAGGTCTGACTGTTGTTGTGTACAGCCAGTATACCATTTTTGGTTTTAGCCCCCAATTCTTTCCTATCGCTCTTTTACAGGCCCATAGGCATTTGAGGGCTTTACTTGTCACGTTTTGAACGTGTTTAGTCCATGTCAGTTTATGGTCCAAAGTGACTCCAAGGTGTTTTACTTCCTTACTCAGTGTCACTTGGATACCATTGATTTCCGGCATTTTAATAGCCACCTTCTTCTTCTTAGTGAAGATACACACATTGATTTTCCTAGGGTTGATGCTTAGTCCTTTAATCCTGCACCAATTCCTAAGAATATTGAACACTGTACTGAGGATATCAGAGAGGACACTCTGATGCCTCCCTCCTATGAGGATGGCAATATCGTCAGCATATCCCTGAGCATAAATGCCTGCAGTGTTTAAGGCTTCCAATAATGAGTCAGCCACAAAACACCACAGTAGCGGAGAGAGCACACCTCCCTGTGGAAATCCCCCACAGGGTTTAATCCACAGTTCCTTGTGCCCTATTTCTGATTTTAGAACTCTGTCCTCCAGCATTCTCCCAATCCATCTGGAGGTCATAGCGTCTATATCTTTTTTCCTTAGCGCATCATTTATGATGTTATAGGGAGTTCTATCAAAGGCACCCTCGATATCAACGAAGACGCCTATCATGATTTCACTCTGTTCTAAGGATTTCTCAATTCTTGTTACCAAGTTGTGAAGCGCCACCTCACAGGATTTTCCTGGTTGGTAGGCATATTGCTTTGAATGTATTGGACTAGTAGCCAATACGTGTTCCCTAATATGTCTGTCCAGTATCTTTTCCAATGTCTTCATTAAGAAAGATGACAGACATATTGGCCTAAATGCCTTGGGGTCTTCATAAGATTCCTTTCCTGGTTTAGGAATGTATCGCACTTTGGATATCCTCCACTTACATGGTAGATATCCCAGTGCTAGGCTACCTCTTAGAAGTTCCAGAAGGTATGGCCTTATTTCTGGGAGACCCTTCTGCAGCAGTGCTGGAAAGATCTCGTCCATTCCAGCAGATTTGAAAGGAGAGAACGAATTCACTGCCCATTCAAGTCTACTGTTTGTTATCACTCTTCTTGCCTGACCCCAGATACGTGCACCAGTACCACGATCCTGTGTATTTGGGGTCAAGAAGTTCATTTACTGTCGTAAAACAATTTGGGAAATGAGCTTTTGCTACCACACTCAATGTTTCTATCTCATTCGTGGTATGCTTATCGTCATATTTGAGTGTTCCCATTATACCTGAATTGGTTTGTTTTGACAGTATTTTGTTTACCTTACATACCGCCGGCATATTGTCCACCTCCAGACAAAACCTTTTCCAGGCTTGTCTTTTGGCTTTCCTCACAGATTTGTGATACTCAGTAAGAGATTTCCTATAGGTATCCCAATTGCCAGATTTTTTAGAAGCATTGAACAATCTCCTCATGAGTGCTCTTTGCTTTGTTAGACTATCATTCCACCAGGACACTTTCCTGTTGGTTGTAGTTTTTTTGGCTTCATTACTGGCCAAATATGCTCTAGTCATAGCATCAGTAATTGAAGTATTTAATATTTCTAATTGCCATGTATTGTGGATAACTTTGGGGCAGCATTTGACAGCCTCCTCCAAGTTAGAACTATAGGACACCCAGTTTGTTCGCTTGGGGTCTCTATATTCCACATCATGTTGTATTCTATCAGATATATCAAATCTGATATACCTGTGATCCGAGCATGTTTCTTCATCAGAGACATGCCAGTTATCTATAAGGTCACTAGTCAATCGCGTCGCTAGTGTTATGTCTATGATCTCAGTCCTAATTCTATTACAAAAGGTAGGCTTATTCCCCCTGTTCAGAATATCAAGATCATATTTAATAATAGTCTCTAAGAGTTTCTCACCTCTAGAGTTGGTGTTTGTGCTTCCCCAGATCTCGTTGTGTGCATTAGCATCCAGGGCAGCAACAATTTCCTCCTTACTCTTTAATAGTTCATCCATTCCTTCTTCAGGCTCTGGATGTTCATATGGCAGGTAAACCGCCGCTATGATTAGTGATTTGTTATACCCTTGTTGGGTATATTTGGCTGCTGCAAGATCTCTAGAACAAAATTGCCATAGAGGCAGCAGTTTTAGTTTGTTTTTAAAAAGTAGGCAGGCTCTAGGATATGTGGGTGCAGATATTATTCCATACCCATGCATATTTAGTCCTTTGATCCTGCCTTCATATAAGTAAGGTTCAAGAATTAATATTATATCAATATCATTACCTTTTATGTACTGTTGCAACACTCCACATGCCGCAATGCAGTGGTGGATGTTGATCTGCAGCAGTTTCATATGTTTTGATTGTTTTATGTTCTGGAAGGTGGTTTTCCAGACGGGGCCGATGGTAGGGTTCTTCCCTCCGACTCAGTTTTCACTTTGTCTTTAGGTTTCTCCCCGCCTCTCGGCCTCGCTTTCGAACCACCACCAGTGTTAGATGGGTGCTGCGAGACAGAGGTCTGGCCACCTGACCGCGACAGTGGCTGGGGTTCGCCTCTGCAACCAGTTTTCACTGGTTCCTTTGGCTTAGCCCCGCCTCCTGCCCTAGCCGACGGCCTCGACCCCGTCCTCAACGCACTCCTTCCCGAAGAGGAAGATTCCTTGTTCTCCCTCTCCTTTGATGTACCTGCTTTCGGCGCCTCCTCTTTCATTTCCTCCAGAGCAGGTTTACTTCCTGATGCTAGAAACCTGAAGGTGATAACATATATCCCACAACAGGCTTGCATTCCATGTTCAGTGAGGCTCTGGAGGCTAGTCTCCGGTATGTTGAAAACTCCAAAGGATCCTCTTTCCAGAGCCTTGAAGTTAAACACGATCCAGGTTTTTATCCCAGTAATAGATTGGTTCTGAATCTGGAGCCGAGTTAAATAATAATCAACAGGTAGTGCCTTTCCTGGAAAGAAGGCTCCAATCCTGATGATTTGTGTAAGATCACCTGCTTCACAAGTTCGTAGGATTAATCCTTCTTTAATTGTGATGCTCGGTGTTATGCTTTTAAACCATTCTACCGTATGGTTGTCTAGGCAGGATACAAGACATCCTCCGATCTTAAAAAGCGCCCCGTCGAACTTTGGATGTATGTCTCCGCCTATTGTGAGCTCGTCAATTTTACTTGTGATTGCTTCTTTTAGATCTTCGCATTGGTCATAAGTTAGCTGGATCTGCGGGTAGTCGACAGGAACTACCGCTACCAACTGTCCTTGCGCAACCTTTGCGTAGTTTTTGGGCCTTTCAGCCTCTCTTGGTTTCTTAGCTTCCACAGCTGAGGCTCCTAGGGATTTCCTAGCTCTTTTCTCCACAGGCAGTCTTGATCTAGACCTCAACCTTTGAGGCCTCGCAAACTTAGATGCTGGCCTCTTGGATGCGTCCTTCTCATCCCCTGCCTGTGTTATTGGAGCTTTACCCTCCGGCGCGGCAGCTTCGTTTGCCAGGCCTTTTGGGGCCCTTGCATCCTCCACTGCCTGCCTTTGAGTAGGCTCCAGTTCACTAGATATTTGCCCTTGATCTGAGGCCTCCCTTTCACGACTCTCTGCCTTGTCCGCCAGGCCTTTTGGGGCCCTTGCTTCCTCGGCAGAGTTCTCTAAAGGTGGCCTTCTCTCATCTTCTGGGCTTGATAGTTGTTGGGCCTTTGCCCTCCTCCTAAGTCGCCTCTTCGCATTCCTTATCTTCCTCCACGTGGCAGGCCTCGAGTCTTCCGACTCGTGGTCCCCGCACTCCGTGTGGTCGAGTCCAGAATGCTCGACGTCCATATACTCTTCCTGGGCCTGCACCATTGCACAAGCCACCTCCATCAGTTCCTTCTCCTTAAGGTCAGTTTGGACGTGAAGTGTTCCGACATCTTCTGTTAGGGTTTTTAGTAATTCCCCTACCAGATTTTCATCAATCTTATCTGAGGTGACCTCAGATAAGTTTAAAAGCTCCTCGGAGGACAAGTCCTCCTCGGATACCGACGATTTATTTTTTTTTGTTTGTTTTAGGTTGGACATTTTGGTTCCCACGAGTATGGGGGTCAATGGAACTGCAGGTACTACCCCCTCTCCCTGCAGCAGGCTACTTGAAATGGGGTGTCGCCCGGTTCCCCAAGTGAGTCGATACAAGACAGTATATTTTTATCCACCCTCTGCCACTCAGCCTCAGCTCGTGCGCCCCGACCTAGCTTGGGTGCCTAACAGGTTCCTCAGTTCCATCTCACATGTATCATCCGCATACACATGGATGGAACCAACGAACCCCGCCTCTGTCGTCCGCGAGTCCCATCGGACTCCCCGGGGGACGCCACATGGAGGTGACAGTAGGCGTTGATAGGGATAAGGAGATCTGGGAACTCACAAGCAGTGGGTAGGGCACTACACTCGATCATTCCGCAAAGAGTTGGGGAGATTCCCGCACCTATCTCCCTCTCTAGACCTCCCGTTACCCTACCCATTAGCCCCCCTTCATGGTTACTGTTTTTATTTTGCAAATTATTCTTTCTCTCTCCAGACTATTATTATAAATCCTATTTGTTATTAAAAATGTATTTGATATGTTTATATTTATAATATGGAAAGAAATTACTCTTGTTTTGAATTATAAATTATAACTTTTTCATTGTTTCATATTTATAGCATTAATGGATCCATCAAATTAGTCGGTTTGGTATTGACACAGTTAATGGTTTCAAATGAATACACAGGTTTCAACTTATGTTGCAATTTCTATATACTTTATGAGGCCTATTGCCGACATAGAGGCATGCATATGATTTCCCCCCTCTTATCCATCAAGAAGGAAGAACATCCTATTCACCGTAAGTATTATTATTGAATCTTTTAGTTTCATTTGGTTCTTTATGATATGAGTGGCTCATATCAAACAAGTACATTTGTCATTTTCAAAAAGCAAAGAAAAAGTCAATTTTTGTTTTATAGGTTCAACTCAAACCGTTTTTGATGATTTTATTTAAGAATGTTCAAGTTGAATCATAAAACAAAATTTGTTAGAATTGGTTTAAATTGAAGCTGGGTTACAGAAAATTGTTTTTTTCTAAACTTTTTAAAAATGACAGATGTCCGTCTTTTATAGCATTTCCAAGTCAATTTCAATTTTTTCCAAGTCAAATTCAACCTTTTCCAAATCAAATTATACTTTTTCGAAGTCAAATTCAACCTTTTATTATTTATTTAATTATTTTTAATTTTTCGATGTATGAGCCAGTTATCGTATGATTAGTTTTTGAAAATAATCTCCATTTTAAAATTATGCCACCACGTTTCGACGTACTTAAGTTTTTCAGATTTATTCGATATAAGGGTGTATTGTTATGTTTCCGGAGCCGCGAATTTTGAAAATGAGGTCCATTTTATGATTACGCCGCTGCGTTTTGAAAGTTTTTCGAATTTATCCAATTTAAAGATCTACTTTTATGTTTCCAGCACCATAGATTTTGAAAATGACCTCCATTGTATGATTATGCCAATGTGTTTCAATATATTTAAGTTTTTTGGATTTATTCGTTAAAAGGGTGTATTATTATGTTTCCGAAGCCGTGAATTTTGAAAATGACGTCCATTTTATGATTATGCTGCTGCGTTTTGACTTATTTAAGTTTTTCGAATTTATCCAATTTAAAGATCTACTTTTATGTTTCCAGCACCATAGATTTTGAAAATGACCTCCATTTTATGATTACACCAATGTGTTTCGATATATTTAGATTTTTGGATTTATTCAATATAAATTAGAGTGCTACCAATGGGTAGTTTCTCAACATGTGTTCCATGTCTTTATACCAATGTGCAAATTTACTAGATGTATTTTTTTGTATACAGTTGTAAATATCATTTAAAATAAATAAAAAAAAAAAAAAATTCAATATAAGGGTGTATTTACCCCTTACTGTAGACCCTTACTGTGTAGACCCTTACTTTGAATAAATCCGAAAAACTTAAATAAGTCGAAACGCGGTGGCCTAATCTTAAAATGAAGGTCATTTTCAAAATCTACGGCTCTGAAAACATAAGAATGCACCCTTATATCGAATAAATCTGAAAAACTTGAATAAGCCGAATCAATAATAATTTTCAAAATCAACAGCTCCGAAAACACAAGAATAGACCATTATCTGTGAAAAATCCGTACAACTTAAATACGTCAAAACGCAGTGTCGTAATCTTAAAATGGAGGTTATTTTCAAAAACTAGGCACACGACAGCATAATACTAGACCCTCATAATTCCGAATAGGTACAATAAATCGATATCCGTAAGTGTAACATAAAATCGATAGTATTTTCAAAAACTCTACTTAGGGGAGCATAATAATAGACCTTTATATTGGATGGGGGAGGGAGGAAATGGCCCTTATTTAAGTAAAAAATCAAAAATTCGAAACATTAATTTGAAATTAATAAAACAGTTGAATTTGAATTGGAAAAGGTTTAATTTGAAATGGAAATGGTTGAATTTGACTTGGGAAAAAAATGAATATCACATGGAAATATTATACTGAAAAAATCTAAAAAGTTAAAATAAATGGATATGCAACCGCGTTATCGTAAATTTTTTTGTATTTTTCAAAAGCTATTCCTTCCATAATATAGTAAATGGCCTTCATTTAGATAAAAATTTAAAATTCTAAAGTTGAATTTGAAATGGAAAAGGTTTAATTTGATTTGTAAAAGGTTGAATTTGATTTGGATAAGGTTGAAATTGACTTGGAAATGCTATATATGAAGCCACTTTATATCTTTCTTATTTTATATAGATTAAATATTTACTTTAGGCTCAGATAGCCCATTCAGTGCCAAAGTATTTTAGTGTACCTATCCTGTGTTATGGCATTTATCATTTATCATTTTTAAAAAATCATTAAGCAGAGTGTCCTGTATGTTGAGGGAAATTTTTATAGGAGTGATAGCAGATCAAACTACAAAAAATGTTCATGTAAACAATGGGCCAATTTTCAGAAGAAATATAGAAAATCCAAGTTTTGTATTTATTTAAGTAAGTCACGCTTTTTGTTGAATAGGAAGCGATAACTAAAGTAATATTTAATTTAAGTTATTAGCAATTTCTTCACTGTTAACTAGACCAAATTTACTTACAAATGAGAGTAAAGTTTGACATTTTTAAAACCATTGAAAGATAATTACAAGCGACAATGCAGTGGGGGCTGAAGTGCAACACAGAATACAGGCAGCCAACAGATGTTACTTTGAACTAGTCCCGCAGCTTAAAAGCAGGGTAATCTCCCAAACAACAAAGCTGTGACAGTACAAAACACTAACTAGGCCTCCTGTTCTCACCTATGGTGCTGAGGTGTGGACGCTGACCAGGGCATTGGAGGAAGGCTTGCGCCGCTTCGAAAGAAGGTGCTCAGGAGGATTTTGGGACCTATGATCCAGAGGGGCCCATCTGGAGTAGGCGAACAAATCAAGAAATAATGAGTATGTACAAGGATAAGGACATCATCTGTTTTATAAAAGTGGGACGGCTCCGGTGGGCTGGTCATGTGGCTAGGATGAGCCCAGAGGAGCCAACTCGAAAGATCCTGGATGAGAAGATCGAAGCCAAAACAAGAGTTGGACGCCCAAGGCTGCGCTGTAGCGCCATTAAATAATAATAATTATATTATTGAAAGAGTTAAAGCCCCTAAATTGAAGTTAAGTATTACGTGTAGTAACATGAAAAAAATCTAATTCTTATTTAAAATGATCCATGACTAACTTAATTATTTATGAAAGAAAAGCAGCTTACAAATAATTAATTATTTTTTATAAAGCGGTACATCTTTTATTTGAGGCTTGATTTTAATAATAATAATAATACTTTATTTATTCTGGGACAAGTCCCTTTAGAATAATACATAAGGACAGTGATGTGGGCTAAAGAGCCTCAGAGATACAAAAAAAAGAAATGTTGAGTAATGAAATAGTCATATTAAAAATTATATGTTACTTTCTAACTTAAATAAGTTAATAATAAAAAATTTTAAAATAAAGTAAAAATAATGAAGAACAATCTAATAATTTATATACATATTTACAGTGGTATCTATTTACAATTTATGATAGGGGACTGGATGGATAAGAAATGATTGAACAGGCGGGATTTAAAGGTAGGAAGGGTATTGAGATTGACGGATGTGGGAAGGGATGGAGTTCCATAAGGATGAGGATTGGATAATGAACAATCTGTCGAAAGCAGCGGTTCGGGGACCCTTATGTATAAATCAGAAGATCTGGAACGAGTATTGCGGGAGCGAACAGAAGATTTGAATTGGATAAGCTCGGAGAAGTATGAAGGTCGGTGGGATTGGATGACTTGAAAGAGGAAGGATGCCAGGAAATACTTAACGACGGTAGGAAGGGTAAAGCCACTTCAACTCTACATAAAAACGGGAAACAGAGGTGTCCTTTAGGATCCCAAAGATGAATCGTACAAGGCAGTTTATCAAGCGTTTCGCCTCGAGATCCCCAGAGACGCCCCCATATACCGTACAGCAATAGTCAAAGTGGGGAAAAATTAAGGAAGTGACCAGGAGTCTACTGGTTTCAAGGGGAAATAAGTGACGGAAGTGGTTTAGGCGTTTTAAGGTGGAAATGGTCCGGCAGGAGATGTTGGATACATGGTTTTTCCAGGAAAGCGTTTGATCGAAGGTTATTCCAAGGTTTTTGATAGTAGGATAAAATTTGATGGGATTATCATGTAGGAAAAGAGTTGGAATATGTGAAACAGTTTTAAGGAGGTGATTGGAGCCAATTAAGATTGCCTTTGTCTTTTCCGCATTCAACTTCAACTTGTTGGCACTCGCCCAGTGCACAAATCTTATCCAAGTCTTCTTGAAGTTTTTCTGTGGCTGATAATAGGTCGGAGGGCGGGAAGGACAGGTATATTTGGAAATCATCAGCGTAGATATGGTATTGGGAGTGACGGATCAGGAGAGGAAGGTCATTAATGTAAATAGCAAACAGAGAAGGAGATAGAGAGGAACCTTGAGGGACACCACAGGAGAGGGGAAGGGTCTTAGATGGGAGTTGACCTGGGACTACTACATACTGGGACCGATTTGAAAGGAAGGATTTGAACCAACGCAGGACACTGTTGGATAGAGGAAGATTGTGCAATTTCGTAAGGAGGATGTCATGGTCAACAGTGTCGAACGCTTTAGAAAAATCTAGAAGGATGAGGTTTTGGTGATGGTAAGGTTTTGGTGTTCAATGGAGTTTTGGAGGTCATGGGTTATTTTAAGGAGAGCGGATTGCATTGAGTAGCCAGGTTGAAAGCCAGATCGGAATGGATTGATAAGGGAACGTTCTTCTAGGAAGTTGGAGTGTTGATTTTGGACAAGGCCTTCTAGCGTCTTTGAAAGGTTGGATAGGAGAGGAATAGGACAGAAATCGTGCAGTGAGGTAGGGTTTGGTATTTTATTCTAAGGTCGGACTAGGGCAGTTTTCCAGGAGGATGGAAATATAGAGTTTTGCAATGAAAAGTTGTAGATATGGTAAAGAACAGGAATTAAGGCAGGAAGGCTGGATTTTATTAGTTTTACTGGGATATTATCAGGACCATAATCATTAGTGTGGGATTTTAAGATAGTGGAAAGTAATTCATCGTAGGTCACATGGGAGAAAAAGAAGTCTTCAGGGTTGAAATTGTGGTGTTTAATATCGAAAGTAGGAGAAGAATTGTGAGTGAAGGATAGGAAATGGCCATTGAGATCATCTGGAGTCACCGGGATGGAACTGAGTTTATTGGATTCTGGTAGGGATAGGTTAGGGAGTATTTTCCATTTGGATTTGGAATTTTA